GACGGCTTCACTCGCGGTTTTTTAACAGCCGCAGTCTTGCCCTTTTTCGGCGATGCTGTCGCTGGCGCAGCGGTTGCCGCCGGCGACGTAGATAAAGCGTTATCTGACATTATAGTAAAAAATCGTAGGTTAAAATGTAAATCTAACACGTGATTGGTTAAATATGTTAGGGGCGTGGCCAAAAACTATATTCGAAAAGTGTAGGACCGAGGAGAAAACAATAATATTTGAAAATTTTACAAAAATGTAAATTATTTGTAAAAAATTAAATCCAGCGCTTTTATTCTAAATAATTCGCATAAAACAATGGATTTACATGATAGCCAAATTCATCCCCAACATATCATCAAAAGCATGATTTATTTCAACGGTTAGTTTTTCTAAAATATCGCTAATTATATTCAAATAACTTCTGCACTCAATAGTGCGTTTTCAACAAAATCGTTATCGCATTTTTATGAGCATTGAGATATGTTATATTTTGATGCGATGTAATTATACTTATATATCCTAGAAACAGTTTTTGTAAATTTTTATTCATAAATAGTATCATAATTGTTCATAAACTGTCATTGAACATTCATTTGAGTACTCTATGAATCTATACTGAACAATAGCTAATATAAACGATTTGATTAAATAACGAATATAATATTTTATTAAAATAAAATATTATTTGTATGAAATAATTAATTATATTTACGATGTAATACACTATCAATACACCAACGCATAAAATTCGGTTAGAAATCATTTGTGTAAAACATTATGTCGCGTCGTGCATTCAAGTTCAAGAAGTGTGCTCTATTCTCTTTTTGCATAGTATCTAATAAAATAATATTATCGTTATAATTAATTATTTCATTCGTAGTTTTCAAAAGAACGATAAAATACAAAACAGTAAACAATTGTACTGTTGTTTCTTGAAATAACTTGAGTCAAAAAATTCACAAACTGTTTATTCTGTAAAATCATAATATTTCTATCATATTATATTTTATTAAAATAAATCGAATGTATAAATAATTTAGTCATTAATAATAAAATATAATATTTATGTTTTTTTTTTTTTTAATTCAATTGTATAGAATAAAATAATAATATCTTATATTCATTGCCGAGAAAAGATTATATATTAGTTGATATTTAATAAATATTATTTTATTCTTTTATTCTTGAATGCTTGCTGAACTGAATATGCGGCTCTGCTGCTATATCTAAACACGCTGACCGTGAATAACCGTTTGTTCGAGGGTCAGAAAACATGCAAGATTTTAGCCTAAATGGTGATTGTTATTAGAATTGAATGACTGGAGAACCATACGAAATTTTAACAATGTATTATAATTTATATGGTTTCTTTATGAAAATATAGAAATATTGTCAATAATTGCTGCAATCTAAATGTAATTTGCATTTCAATAAGTGATCAATCACACAGATTGCTCTCTACTAGCTAAACAGTAAAAGATACGAAAAAACTTTGTTCGTACGAAAGATGCAGAATAAAATCACGAATAAAATGATATATAAATCGTTATGTGTGTTCATATAATTTTTTCGAGATTATCTAATTTTTCTTAAATTTTAAGGAAATATGTAAATAATACCTAAATATACAAAATTTATATTCGACAATAGTAAAATTTCATAATAATTCATTATAACTTTATAATAATACTATTATAATTTTATAACAATTCATTTATTTATGATTATTAATAAATTTTGTACGATAATTATTAGTAAATCTTTCCACGATCACTAAGCCACGCCCTTTTTTAAAAACACGCGTCAAAATTAACTATAATATTATTATTTTGTTTATGCATAATCATTATTTTATTCTCCTTGTCGAGACTAACAAAATGCTATAAGGTATTATGATATTGACATTGATATCTAGCGTAAATGTTTGTTGAAACATTTAGGCCACTATACAGCGTAAGTTCCTAAACACGACGACCGTGAATAACCGCTCGTTCGAGGGTCAGAAAACATGCGAGATTTTAGCCTGAATTGCGAATGTTATAAAAATCAAATCATTAACAAACCCTACAATTTTTTTTTTTAAATATACAAATTCTATAATCGATATTAGTGAAATTCAATAATAATTGATAACATAATAACATATAAATGTGTTAATATTTGATAATAAAACAAGAATTATTTATTTGGTTTTAAAATCACTACAAAAATTAATATACTTATATAGATTTTTTTTTATATTTATTTTAAATGTTTTATAACAACGTAACTAATAAATAAAGTTATTATTTTGTACATTTATTTATGATTATTAATAAATTTTGTACGATAATTATTAGTAAAACTTTCCACGATCACTAAGCCACGCCCCTTTTTAAAAACACGCGTCAAAATTCACTATAACATTATTATTTTCTTTATGAATAATTATTATTTTATTCTTCTCGTCGAGACTAACAAATTGCTATAAGGTATTATGGTATTGACATTGATATCTAGCGTAAATGCTTGCTGAAACATTTAGGCCACTATACAGCGGCAGTTCCTAAACACGACGACCGTGAATAACCGTTTGCTCGAGGGTCAGAAAACATGCGAGATTTTAGCCTGAATTGCGAATGTTATAAAAATCAAATCATTAACAAACCCTACAATTTTTTTTTTTAAATATACAAATTCTATAATCGATATTAGTGAAATTCAATAATAATTGATAACATAATAACATATAAATGTGCTAATATTCGATAATAAAACAAGAATTATTTATTTGATGTTGAAATCACTACAAAAATTAATATACTTATATAGATTTTTTTTATATTCATTTTAAATGATTTATAACAACGTAACTAATAAATAAAGTTATTATTTCGTACATTTATAACCTTAAATATTCTTTGATTCATTCAAACAAATGTTGTTATTTATATTTATTTAAATAAAAATATCTAAAATCAATTAAATTATATACCGAATGTTATGATAAAAAAATTAAAATAAATTAAAATGAGTATTGAATAGTAAATTAAATAGTATTATAAATAAAATAGTAAAATAATAAATAAATAGTAAAATAATATATGTTCATTTTTTGAATAAAGTTGTTCGTCCTGAGAAGGACGGTTTTATGTCAATTTGCGACAATAAAAGAAATTTAAGCTTTCTTTTCTGTCTTCTTTGGCAAAAGCACAGCTTGTATGTTCGGCAATACACCGCCCTGAGCAATCGTAACACCCGATAACAGTTTGTTGAGTTCCTCGTCATTGCGGATGGCCAGTTGCAAATGACGCGGAATTATTCTGGTCTTCTTGTTGTCGCGAGCCGCATTGCCGGCTAACTCGAGAACTTCGGCGGCCAGATATTCCATGACTGCAGCGAGGTAGACGGGTGCACCAGCGCCGACACGCTCGGCATAGTTGCCTTTGCGTAGCAAACGATGAATACGACCGACTGGAAACTGAAGACCGGCACGGTTAGACCGTGACTTAGCCTTTCCCTTGACTTTACCGCCTTTGCCTCGACCAGACATGTTTACAGGTTCGTGTTCAAACTGAGAATGATATCAAAGTTCTCGAACGGGCCCGTATAGATTTCTGAGCGTTGCAAGCACACGCCCATTTTTTTGTAGACACGCCCCTCCCTTGCCTACGTACGTTGTTACGGCTTCAGTCAAAACGTTGAAGCAGTACGAAAACGGAGCGTCGGCACGACTCATTTCGTATCAGTCAGTGTACTAGTAAACATCAGACATGCCACCGAAAACCAGCGGTAAAGCGGCTAAGAAAGCAGGCAAAGCCCAGAAAAATATTTCAAAGGGCGACAAGAAGAAGAAACGTAAGCGCAAGGAGAGCTATGCCATTTATATTTACAAAGTCTTGAAACAAGTCCATCCTGACACGGGCATTTCGAGCAAGGCGATGAGCATCATGAACAGCTTTGTGAATGATATCTTCGAGCGTATAGCGGCCGAGGCATCGCGTTTGGCTCACTACAACAAACGCTCTACAATCACTAGTCGGGAAATTCAGACAGCAGTCCGGCTATTGCTACCAGGCGAGTTGGCCAAACACGCCGTCAGCGAAGGTACTAAGGCCGTAACCAAGTACACCAGCTCGAAATAAAATGATGAAGATTTTGTGATGCCACTTATATGTTCTGTCGACAATAACAAAGGCCCTTCTCAGGGCCCACAAATATTTTACAAAAGAACTTTATAATTTTTACATTGGTTTTTATATATAAAATAAATACCTGACACTAATGATATTTTATTAGGATTTCAATAATTTTGATCAGATTTCTATTAGAGATCGTTATTATTAATTTATATTATAAATATGTTCAATTTTCTATATATTTTCAATATGATAAAATTAATGATTGAATATTCAATTCAATTAAAACTTTAGTTTTTCAAATTTAGTTAATAAGTTTAAGTTATTTTAATTTATTATACAATATATTTATATTAAAAAAAATCGCAAATTTAAAATATTTTCGTAAAAATAAAATTATTGTCGTAAATATTTTAAAAATTTTATTATTTAAATATATAAAATATATTATTACATATTATATAAATTTAAATAATATGCAAAATTAATAAATTCATTCATTTAATTGAGCTCCTTCATTCAAGCCTTTCTGAAGCCCTTAACTGTAAAGTATACTATACTAAAAGTATACTCTATTTTCTATTAATTGAAGCCCCCCCCATGTAAGAAAAGAATCAATTGCATATAAAAAGTCAATACGAAAAATAGTAAAATATATATTAATTAATACTTTCTTTAAAACATATTCGAGGGCTTTCCAATTTGATAATATTATCAATAATATTACAAAGCAAGTTATTCTGCAAGAAAATAAACAAATTTCATATAAAATCAAATAAGCCTGTACGTAAATTGTAAAATATATTACTTGTTCTTTTAATTATATTTGACAGCCCTTAAAAGGGCTCTTTTTTTTTTTGTATTTATAAGAAATGACTGACGACTCGTCCGTTGATCAATTTAACCGCCGAAACCGTACAGTGTACGACCCTGACGTTTGAGCGCATATACGACATCCATAGCGGTTACGGTCTTCCTCTTGGCGTGCTCGGTGTATGTGACTGCATCGCGGATAACGTTCTCGAGAAACACTTTCAGAACACCGCGGGTCTCTTCGTAGATTAGACCCGAGATACGCTTGACGCGCGCCACGGCGAGCAAGACGACGTATAGCCGGCTTTGTAATACCTTGGATATTATCGCGAAGAACTTTCTGTGTCGCTTAGCGCCACCTTTTCCGAGTCCCTTACCACCTTTGCCACGGCCGGTCATTTTTCAATATATCGCAGTCGGGATAAATTTACAAATTGATGTTAACAGCTCGAAGTCTGAATAACGACTGAATTCCGACGAGCGAAATTATTGAAAAGTTTGAGCTCGCTAGGCCACGCCCATCATAGCTATGCGAGCATTCGGCGCCGACCAATGACAGCCGAGCACAGCATCGGACATTCGTAATGTATTTTTGATCATAAAAGGTGCGTCCACACCAAACGTATCGAAACGAACGAACATAAAAAAAAGGTACCAGAACGAACGGCGACAGCA